GAGGGAAGGAGAGGGAGGGAAAGAGGGAAGGAGAGAGGAGGGGGAGGGAGAGAGGAGGGGGAAAGGGAGAGAGAGAAAGAGAGGGAAGGAGAGACAGAGGCAAAGAGTGGGGTGCAGAAGGGGAGGGAGAGAGAGAAAGGGAGAAGAAGGGAGGGTGGGAGGGAAAAAAATAAAGAGGAAGGGAGAGAGAAAGAGACGTGGGGGAGAGGGAAGGAGGGAAAGAGAGAGCGAAAAGGGGGAAGAGATAGAAAGTAAGATAGAGAGGGAGGGAGGGAGGGAGCCAGAGAGCTCCTGAGCAGGTGCAGAGTATCGTTCTTCTGGGAGGGCGGCGACCGGACCGCCAAGCCAAGCCAAGCCAAGCCAAGCCAAGCAGCGGCTGCGGTCTCGGGGCTCTGGCCGCACGCCGGCAGGGCTTCCCCGGGGCGGGTGGTGGGGGGGGCGCTTTGGGAGAAGCAGCTGCGCCGCCGCTGCTCTGCCTTCCATTGGATTAAAAATAGCGTCTCTCCGCCCCTCCGGATGGGCAGGCGGGAGGGCGGGCGGGCCTCGGCTGCGCGCTTCTGCCCCTGGCCGCCGCCGCCGCTGCTCTCTCTGCCCGGGCTCGTCGGTCGGTCCGTCCGTCCGTCCGTCCTTTGGCGCCTTCCTTTGGGGAAGATGGAGCGGGCCGCCTTGTTCGCGCAGGGGCGGGAAGCGCCGATGGCTGCCGGGGACGTGGGCGAGCTCTTGGTCCCCTACATGCCCACCATCCGGGTGCCCAAGACCGGCGACCGCGTCTACAAGACCGAGTGTGCCTTTTCCTACGACTCGCCCGTAAGTAGCGGCGCCTGCCCGGATAGTCCTTCCCCGCTCTCGGCGGGCTCCTCCGCGGATCCTGACTAAGTCTGCGCGCTCCGTCCCCGCCCCCCCCCCCCGTCCCCTTCCCCCCCCCGCCCGCCCCCGGCCTGGTTTCCTGCGCGGGGTCGCCCCCCCCCCGTTGCGCGGGGCGGGCTTCCCCCCCCCCCCCCCCCCCCCCCCCCCCGTCCTTTCGTCTCGGATTATATCTCCCCTCGTCCCCAGCGGAGTTCCCTCATTCCCCAGATCGATTCGTCTGAAGGGGAAAAGCTGGGCGGACCTGGAGTTATATCCCCCATCCCCTCATCTGTACACACACACACACACCCTCACAATTTTCCAGGACTCCCCTAGAAGTGAAGTTGTCTTGAGAAGACAACATAGGTTTGTTGTAGCTGCTTTGCCTTGATGCCCAGCTTGGGGGCAGCGCCTAGCTAGTGAATGTAGAAAAAAAAAAGCTAAAGGGAGTTGGACTGGTTTATGGAGGACTTGGATGGGAGGCCACCAGGAGATGTCCAGGTGGGGAACGCCAGATTGGGAAGTTAAACACACACACACACAAAAGAAAGCAAGCAAGCAAGAAAGTAACGGCAAAGCAATTCCATTCCATAGGGACATATCTTTAGAATTGTGAGTCCACTTTGACTTGAGGCAAATATTTTGCCAGGGACCCCCAAAAGTTTTTGAGCTGGTTACAGGCCTCTAAATAGATTCCTTCCTCTATATGCAACTCGTCCCATTTCATTGGTAATATAGCCCAATTCTGCTGATCAACGCATCAGCTGCCCCATCTTCCTTTCCTTATTGGTAAGGGACTTCTGCCAGGAGTTTTTGGTTCTTGGGTTGCCAGCCAGATCTGAAAAAGTCATATATTTTTTTGCTTAGCTTGTGTGTTCCTCACAATTCAGTGATTTATTTATTTATATTTATTTATTTATTTATTTGTTTGTTTATTTATTTATTTTGTCAAGCGATTATAGGATTACAGGTGTAAGTATAGACATAGTTATGAGTACATGAAATGGATACATATAAGAAAAATAAAAAAGAAACAATAGGACAGGGACGGTAGGCACATTGGTGCACTTATGCATGCTCCCTTTGAATCAGATCTATCAAAGATATTTGTTCATGTAGCTACCTTTACTCAGTACCTTTAGTTTTGATCTCGGTGAGGTTTTTTTTTCTGAATTAACACCTTGCTAACCAACTAATTGGGTTAGCTGATGATTCAGCATGTGGTGCAAACCTAGGGAATGAGTTAACGAAGTAACAAAGTTAAGTGAGCTGTATGAAACACCCAGTCAATTTCTCAGTCTCATTAAGTTATCATCCTATCAGCCCTACTGCTTCTTCTCTGGCTAACAATGATTGTTTTATCTCGGCTTTCTTGATATCTTTCCAAGCTGCTAAGCTAGTTCCTTCTGGTCTCTCTTGATTTATCAACATCAGCTTCGGAGGTGGTATTCAGCTGGTTCTGACCAGTTCTGGAGAACCGGTAGTGGAAATTTTGAGTAGTTCAGAAAACTGGCAAATCCCACCTCTGACTGGCCCTGCCCCCATCTATTCTCTGCCTCCCGAGTCCCAGCTGATCGGCTGGGTCTTCTTTTGTTGCCCTGCACAAGAGAACGGAGCTGGAAAGCAGGTTAGTGGGGTGGGGAGGGAATGGGATTTTTCAGTAACCTTCCCCTGCCATGCCCACCAAGCCATGCCCACAGAACTGGTAGTAAAATTTTTTGAATCCCACCACTGATCAGCTTAACCCTGTTAATTTACTTGCTGGTAGATCACTGGTAAATTTCTGATTAGGTTGTAATCAGACTTGCCTGGATGTTGCCTTCTTACTTATAAGAGATAGTTCTCAACTTACAGTCACTTAATGACTATTCAAAGTTATGGCAGACTTCCCCAGAGCTACTTATGACCCATTTTCAAAGTTACTATGGCCGCATGCACCCTCCCAGGTGGTCACGTGACTTAGCAAGCATCTCATGTTTACAGCTGTTTGCATCATTCTGCGGTCAAGTGACTATGATTTATGACGAGGTTGTAGAGTTTTTTTGTTTCTGGTGTTTACTTCTAGTTGTTAGCAAAAGTGCCCATCGGGGAAAATGGATTCACTTAACAACTGTGGTGTTTACTGAGTGGCCACTGCAAAAAATATAAAAAATAAATAAATCAAGTTTGATCATGTGATGTCTCAATTTACGACCACAATATCTTACCATCATAATTCCAGGCTCAATTACAGTTGTAAAGTGAGGACTCTTTGTGGTTCCACAGGTGAAATACAATGAGTTCTGTCTAATATTTAGCAAGGATGGGAGGTGGATGGTGGGTGGGAATAACTGGTTAAGTTACAGATGCATTTTTGCCTGCAATCTGTAGTGTAAATTTGAACTCATCGGGGTTGCAAACATATCTCGTACGATCTTGGTTCCAGATTGCCGGTCTGTTCTTTCTCGACTAAATCCATTTTGTTATTGCCCTGCTTTTGAGGTCTGTGCTATAGATTTGCTCTTTGAACCTACCTTTTCATTTTATCTGTAAGGAAATTTGTTTTGATTTTCCTAAACCTGAACAAAACATATAGTTTAATTATAAATGGAGTTTCAATATATGTTAGTTTTGCGTATTAAGAATCAATTGTGAGCCAAGAACAAAGAAAAAAAAAAGCTTTGATTGCAATTCCTTATTTCCACTCCAAGGCAGAAATAAAGCAGTATTTAATATTTTTTTGTGGATATTTGTGACTTCTAATTGCTTCTCTTCCAATTGGAAAAGTAAGCTCTACTTTGCTGCATTAATTTAGCCAGGCTCTCTTGAGTAACATAGCTTTCTCAGTTTATGCAGTATTAAATGTGTTTGGCTAGCTTAGTGTTTCTTAATCTTGCCAACTTTAAGTTAATATGAGGACTTCCACTCCTAGAATTCCTAGGCAGCCTTGAGTTGAAGTTCACACATCTTAAAATTGAACTGGCAAATAGTTCCACCTGTGGGCTGTTCCTTGCGATAACTAAACTTGCAACTCCTTGCTAGCTAGGAGGAGGAAAAGCAAGGTAATTAAACTTGCAGCCACTAATATTTAGGAGCTACTGAACATAACAGGGAAGATATATTTTATTTTAGGAGACATTGATGTGTGAAAGTGTGATGCTGTTCTAGGTTTAGCACATTGAGGTCACAAGTAGCCCAAGATCTTTCAAAGAAAGGCATATATTCTCCTTTAGCTTAGACCATTCTTTACTTTTCCAGCTGCCACCCAAGCACTGCGAAGTAGATACATCCTCTTTCCTTTTTTTCACATTGTCTGTCCCAAGTATGATATTCTCATTTTAGCAATGGTCAGCTTCAGCTGAATAGAAGCGTGGGGGCTTGGCTGTCTAGTTTCTCCTTGATGATCTGGGAGTAATGAATTCAGAACGGATTTTTGTTTTCTTTTTCATTCTCTGGGGCTGACCTTCTGGCTGGCCTTCTGTGACTCAGCAGAGTATTCTTTGCAGCATTTAGTTTTATGTCAAATGGAGTGATTTGCAAGTCTAATTCTAATTCATAAACATACAGACGTGTGCGTAAGACCATCTGTCCATGCTACCACATTTTACTTGCATGCACTTTCTTGGTTGAGTGCATCCATGCACATGTTCATACTTACATTGTATTATAGTTTCCTGTTTAACAGTTGCTGAGTTGGTTGCGAATAAGGTTTTGAGTCCAAATGTTGGTTTTGATCTAGAAAGCCCTCTATGGCTTCATCCTAGGGCAATGTATTTATTTATTTATCAAATTTAATGGCTGCCCATCTTACCACAGGGTTAAACTCCATGCGGCTTACAATATTAAAAAGATAAAACGATATAAGTAAAATGCTACAAAATATAAAACTACAAAATACAACAGCTAGAAGATGGGAGGAATAAGATCAGCCTGGGGATGGGTGGAGCAATCTAATATTAATCTATCAATCACCCCCAACGTGAAGCATGAAGCACCTTCTTAGACACCCTGTTAATTCATACATTAATTGCATAATAGTTCCTGTTGAACAGTTGCTGAATTGGTTACCAAGAGGGTTTTGAGTCCAAATCTTGATTTTGATCTAGAACAGGAGTCTCCAACCTTGGCAACTTTAAACCTTTAAGCAAAGCTGCCCAGGGAATTCTGGGAATTGATGTCCTCCAGGCTTAAAGTTGCCAAGGTTGGAGACCCCTGATCTAGAACACGGGTGTCAAACTCACAGCATCATGTTACCGTCATGTGACGTATCGCGATGTTCTTTTCCCCTTCGCAGAGCTGGGGTGGGCGTGGCCTGTGCATGATGCATCCAGCCCGCGGGCCACCAGTTTGATACCCTTGATCTAGAAAGCCCTGAATGGCTTTATCCTAGGATCGTATTCCTTTGAAAAATCTAAGAGACATTAAATTTTAGACGCTGTCTTCTACTGTGTTAGTCCAAATGCTTTGGTATCCCTTGTCTCCAGAGAGTCACCTTGGCACCTGCCCTGTTGGAATTTTGGAAGGGCTGTCAAGATGGTTTCATTTGAACAGGCTTTGGAGAAATGATTAGATCAAGTCCAGTTTTTATGCCAGCCAAGGAATGAGACTTGGGATGAAATGTGTGTTCCAAAGTTGGGACGTGAATTCCACTCTTATCATACTTGTATCTGATGTGGTAATGCAAGTACAAAAGGGAGAGAATTGTAGTATGATTGACATTTTGTCATTTTGTGCTTACATATAACTAGATTTTGTTTTAATATGCTGCCTGTAATTTTTATGTTTTCATATTGCTGTATTTATGGATCTGAGATTGTTGTATGTCACTGAATTTCTGCTGATTGATGTTTATTGGGATTAATTTATCCGAAGCATAAGCTGCCCAGAGTCATTTGGTTGAATTTGGAGATTGTAGAAAATCATATGGATGGATGGATGGATAGAATTAGAATTCTTTTATTGGCCAAGTGTGATTGGACACA